CTCTGATGAGTCAGAGTTTGGGAATCTTTGTGTAGTCTCCCAGCAAAACAGCTGGCTGTTTGTTTGCAGGGTATTTTTTTTCCAACAATTGTAAACAACCCCTTCCTTACTTAGCAGAAGAAGTCTGCCAACTTCTTAAAAGCAGTTGGCCTTCTGAGGTCTCAGTTGGTAATCTCAAATATCTCCACTGTTTTCCGTCTTGGTTTCTCTGTGATGTCAGGTTTGGGCCCAGTGCCTGGCTATGCAGGTGAGGTTGAATGCCTTCTCCTGTTCTGAGAAAAAAAAGGAAGGCCCTCAAAGAAAAGGTGGGGGACCATAAACAGGACTACAGAGGTATGGGATCCTTTTCCCATTCTCGAATTCCAAGTACCAGTCTGTGAGCTGCCCAATAAGAGCAAGAAATGAAGGGTGCATTTGATGGTTCTTGGCCTGGGGTTATTATTCTATGTTGACCATTCTTGTAAGCACAGCACTCCTGTTCTGGACTCCTCCGTTGGCTGCTCTGTGGTCCAGGCCCCTGTCTTCCTCCAAAAAAAAGAATGTTACAAATCCTAGGGCAGCCAGGTGCCTCCCAAGACCATGAAAGGCTCTGAAAAACTTAAAGCAGAGCCCCTTCTCAAAAAGTTGAAAGTATGTAAGATAGAAGAGGAATGGCAAGTGTTAAATTTGGTGGCAGTTTAAAATTTCAAGGCAAGAGCTGAGCATGAATTGGTCTGAGCCAAGAATGCTTCAAGGAAATGGGGTTGAGGGGACCATACTGCCCTCCTCACCACCATCACCACCACCCACATCCACCCCCAGGATGAGTAATGTTGGCTCTATTTTCCAAGCCCGCACTTCTGCAGCTGAAAACTCACTTGACTGTTGCTTTACTGTGTAGCTAAGTCTAGACCAGGAAGCAGGAAGTTTGCCTTGGTGCTCTGGATAAAAATAATAGTTAAGATTTTATGAGTGCTTACTATGTGCAAGACACTATTCTAAGAGCTTCATACACAAGGCTGTTTGTCTCACAGAGTAATCTGGGACTAGCTTTTGGCCATCTGGATATGTCTTACAGAAAATTAGCATCGAAATCTCACTGGCCTTAATCAAGGCTATGTAACTACTTTGGGGCAGGACATGACTTTATTATTTGGTTTTTATTGCAAATGAAATAAGAAATGGGGTTCTATTTTTTTCCAATCCCCCCTTTATCTGTTGCTAATGTGGTCTTTTTTATAGTATTATTTTTATATCTTTCCACCTTTTCTAAAGTTGTCTTAGAGTATCTTGGTCTGTGTTTGATGATGATGTGGGGCTGCACAGGGGAGGTACTTCTTATTCTAGGCCTGGGTCTATAAAAATAAAGATAGTAAGAACTGACTACAAAATAGCAACATCCTGGCTATTATTATTGAATTCAGTAAAGAAAGCAATCTCCTTAAGATGGTTTTGTTTATTTTTTTTAAAAAAAAATAAATGCTGTGATTCCTAAGTGGTGGGGTTTTTGTGTGTGTGTATGTTAAAACTTTCAGTTGTAATTTTCCATTGGCTTTGCATTTCCTTGAAATGGACATAATTGAATTCTCAAAATAGCCTCTAACTGAATATATTATTGCTTAAAAGAAAACATATAAGCAGGCAATGTAAACAAATGCCATGACCCTTCCTTCCAGGCCTACCTCCGGAATTCAAAACCTAATACCAAAGGAGAAGTATAGGGTTTCCCTTTGGTTAAAACTTTTCTACACCCTACAGTGAGAGAGCATCATCAATTATGCAAAATTCCTTTTAACTCCCTTTTGAAATGAGTCACTCGGGCTTAAAGCAGGCTCTTAGTGCTTCTGTGAGGGCAGCAAATGCTTGAATTCCCTGGAAGAATGTTTTCAGTTAGAGAAGAATGAGATGAAATATAAGTATTTACAATTTCTAAGGAATGGTCACAACCTGTGGCCCCAGCTCTGCAAAGTTTCTGCTGAACCTTAATTGAATGATGGAGACTAAGATAGCTTCATTGTATGGTTCCCCATACACGGAATTTCTAATGTAGGTTTTTGTTGTTTGGAAGGGGTATGTATGTGCACATATACGCAAGCAAACTGTCTTTAAAAATGAGCCTTCATGTGGTATTTTTGCACACAGAATGTTCTAGCCTTGCTTTGGTACATCACGGACCCCTTCAGCCACCTTATTTTTCTCTTTTCCCTAGCTTTGAGTAAAATTTCCTAAGTTAGCCTCAGGGACTCAGAGTTCTGTTGTCGTTGTTCTACCCCTTTCTTCCTGCTGACCTTGGAGGAGATAATCCACTGGCCAGTGATTTGTACCCCTTCTAGTAATGCAAGTGGACAAACACACGCTCACATGTTACACAAAGCCTGGCCCAAAACATCCACCCTTGGCTTGCTTAAGAAAGTGCCTCTGACAGAGGACATTACCCTATCTGAAACCTAAAAATATTCTGTTTCCCTGAATGAAAAGAAGAAGGCTAAGACATTAGGAAACTCAATAAATGGTATTAAGTATGCTTTTGAGAAGGAAGATTAACAAATGATTGATGATCCACCACATCTTGGGTCTAGAAAAGTTATGTGTCATATATTACTAGGCATTGCGGTGTAAGCCTGTAAGATACTTATTATATTAATTGAAGTGGGACTTAAGAGACTGTCACAGCAAAGACACTGAAAACCATTTCAAACCCTCTCTCCTACCACCTTCACAAGGCATGGCGTGGAGTACAGGTGGGCCTCATTTGACCCAACAGATGCAAGTCTAACATGATATAAATCAAAGCATATTTTAAATCAGCAGAGAAATTTGAAAAGCTGAAGGACTCTAACATATTGATGATGTCACACAAAAAAAAACCCTAATTGATGTTTTACTGTGATTGAAAATCGTACCTTGTGTACTTCATGTGCATTGAGGGAGTTAGAGAACCTATCTTTTCACTGTAGCTCAACATTTCATCCTTTCTGAGGAAACTATTTAGAGATTCACTTTGAGGTCACCTAGCCAGGTGGAATAGAACCTGTCACCCCTACCACAGCCTGCTGCAGGAAGTGTACACCTGGCCCCAAGTTGAACCTGCCCATCCTTTGATGACCTGTGAATTGGATAGGTACGCCTCTGTATCTTTTCAGACCTTCTAAATTTATGAATTAAGGCTTTACCTTGTTTTCGTTAGAACCCAAGGTCTTCACCTTGTAGCAGGATGCTTAGTTTTGGTCAAGGAAACTAAACAGCTAGCACTGTACCCTAAACATCTGCTAGAAGTGGAATTCATATGTCAGATTTTTGTAAATGCAGTCATTTCTTAAAGATATGATGGGACTAGGGGTATGGCTCAGTGGTAGAACCTGGACAAGACCTTGGGCTTGATCCTCAGCCCTGCAAGAGTAAAGACATGACAGGCTCATAATAGAAAAATGGGCTTGGGTATGCCTTAAATGGTGGATTCCATGGTATATGAATTATATCTCAATAAAGTTGTTTTAAAAGAAGAAAAAGCAGGTCTGGAGTTGTGGCTCAGTGGTAAAGCACTTGTCTTGCACATGTGAGGCACTGGGTTCGTTCCTCAGCACCACATAAAAACAAATAAAATAAAGGTATTGTGTCCATCTACAACTAAAATATATATTTCAAATAAAAGAAGAAAAAGCAGCAACTTGGAGGAGCTGCCTTTGGAAAATGTAGGCACTGTACAGTACAGTGATACCAGTAATGGCCCTTCCCCCATTTGTGGCTTTTGTTTAAAGTGACATTGTAGTACCCTGCACTGCCCTTAGAGAGGGAAGTACTGTGTATCAAATGACAATGGCAGGCCTTGTTAGAGGATTCAAAAGAATTAGAAGCCCCCATCCCTGCCTTCCACACAGAGGTGACAGTATTTCATCCTAAAAAAGAGAAGTCTATGCTTGTGTGGACTTCTTTTGAGTAATTATTTTATTGTTTTCTCTTGTTTGAGAAGCCTGTATGATTGTGTTTTATGACCCCATGTGTTATTTATAGAAACAACTCATGTTAAAGTGTAGCTGTCACAGCTCATCCTCTTGTCTTGTTACCCATAGTTACTGCAACAAGGAAGTATACAACAAGGAGAATCTTTTCAACAGCCTGAACTATGATGTTGCAGCCAAGAAGAGAAAGAAGGACATACTGAATAGCAAAACCAAAACTCAATGTAAGCCATTTGTCTTTAACTTAAGAGGAAAGTTGTTTGAACAGAGTTATCATTGGTTCTTGGGGGAGAAAATTTCCATGTCGAACATCAGACATCACAGAAGTTGCACCCAGAAATCTGACTGTGCATTTTGCAAGCAAGATCAACTTATTCTTTATAATCTTCTTTATAAGTTATTTGCTATTTAGGGTGTTTTTTCCCTGTGTGTCACTTGCATTTGACATAGGCCATATAGTTATTATACGGTGATGCTGTCAGCTAAATCAATTCCAGCAACTACTTTTATTTGGAACTGTGTTTTGAAGCTTTGAAAATAGGTTTTTTTCTCTTTCCTTGTATAATTAATATTTCTAGATGCTTTAGTTATTAGCAGAGGGTATAAAACTCTATTAATAAACATGAATTATTTTAGTTTATTCCATTTCAACTGCATGTTATCTGTTGTACTTTTATGGATTTATGTAAGTTTTAGTTATAACATTTAAAACAAACTTATATATGGATATTAGATTTTCTTTTAATTTGGGGTTTGTATCCTAAAACTGACTATTAACGATTTTAAATGCTTTAGACAAAGAAAATTATAGCTCCAGTATTTGTATGCTGCAAAAACTCAGCATTTGTATCCTCTTAGATTGTCACTAGAGTCGTCGTCATCTTCTTCTTTTTTTTTTTTTTTTGAAACTTTTTAAGCTTTGGAATAAGTGGGGGAAAAAAAGAGTCAGTTTAAAATCTTGAGCACATGACCAATTTTAAACAAGCTGTGTTTTCTTTTTTGTTTCTGCAGATTTCCATCAAGAAAAATGGATCTATGTTCACAAAGGAAGTACAAAAGAGGTGAGCACTGACCTGTTTATTAAACCTTCATGCCTAGCCTTACACTTCCCTGAAGGGGCAGAGAAAATCAGGCAGCAGCTTTACCTCCAATCCTGCCATCTTCGGTGCATATGGTGAAGGCCAGCAGCCTGTGGCCCAACCAACCATCAGAGTTTGGGACCACAGGGAGAGAGAAGCAAAAGCCACTAAGTGGACTGCCCAGTAGTCCAGTGAAATAACATATGTAAAAGTGTGTTATAAAGATGAATGTATTCGTCTCTCAACTGTAATATGAAGCAGCCCTGGATTTTTCCTGAGGACGGTACCTCCCGTTACTCTAAGATCTCTCCAGACATTGTTAAGGGTTACTCCTGCAAGGGCTAATCACTAAATCTAATAGAAGTTTCCAGAGCCTGCTCAGCATGATGTCAGAGGAGACAAGACAGTGCATTCACGACATTTGTATGGCACTTGACAAACCATTTTGTACCGTTTCTCTTTGCACAGGCACTTGCTCAGACAACTAGGACACAAGGCAATATGGCAGGACGATGGGATTTCTATCGCTATTGGGGATCTTGGAAAACTTCTAGTTCACTCAGTGTTTGAGGCCCAGAGAGGGTCAGAACAGACCACCCAGATACGCAGAGCAGAGCTGGGACTGTGAGCCAGAACTCTCAATGCCTTGTGCATTCATAGGCAAAAGATCAAAACTTCTTTTTTACTTCCTCTCAAAGCCTTTTTTAAAAGGTGCTATTAGTGTGAGCAGATTGGTGCCACAGTTGACACAGGTGCATCTAGTTCTCTGGGGAATGTATCACAATCACTCACTTGCCATTGTCATCTCCCCATCATATATTCAGCTTCCAGAAATATTTTCCCAGACTCGTATGTAGAGAAAAAGAGCCCAGATGGTTTAAGTCATGAAAGGGACATTTCTCATGGTAGTCCCCAACAAAAGCAACTGCCAGACACATCACCCTTCTTGGTGCCCCCCCCCAGGGACTCATGGTGCAGGAAATACCAATGCCCAGGTTCCCTAAGACAGGCATCAAGCTTGTTTGGTAGAGTCCAGTTGGATTGTTCCAGAGAACCACCTCTGCATGGCAGGAATAACTTCTGTGTCTTTGTTTTACATTCAGCGCCATGGATACTGCACTTTGGGGGAAGCTTTCAACAGACTGGACTTCTCAACTGCCATTCTGGATTCCAGAAGATTCAACTACGTAGTACGGGTAAGTCTCAAGAGCCCAAAGCTTATCCAGATTCTCGCGTTGAATTGTCTGTTTGGGTTTCCTGAAGTAGTTTCCTCAGAAGACAGCAGTTCAGGACCCTGAGTGTTTCGAGGCAAGCAGAAAAAAGGTGCCCAACCTCCCTCTTCAAGGTCTTAGGTGAGGATGTCCTTGAGATCGACCCTGACATACAGGGACTGCCATACTCCTTCAGTAAGTCAGTCTGTTCATGAGCCGGTCCCCTCAACTGAAAATTCACTGCAGTCCCTTGAGCCCACCCAATGGACAAATGGGAATGTGTTGCAGGTAGCAACATGAGCAAGAGACACTACGGCAGGAACCAAGCCCTAATATACTTTGGCTTGTTTTAAAACCTTCTGCATCTGATTGTCCCTTTCCTATTCTGCTTTGGCTGACTCTGAGTGACCCTAAGGAATTCTTACTTGAGGACACAAAACTGGATAGGTTTACAGCATCTCAATGTGGCCTTCCATGACTCACTTCCACCCCCATGCCCATGTGACAATGGCACTTAGTCCCCTGTCTACCTAAATCCTAAAACTGCCTGTTGACATCTATTGATTTCCATTTTAAACTTTATTTTAGAAAAAAAATAAGTGAGTTTTCACAATTAATTAATGAATACTACTGGGATTAAAGCAAATAAGCTGACCATGACTTCCAAGCCATCAATTCTTTCTATTTGGGTGACTGTTGTTGTTCTTCCCCCTGAAGGTCCCTTGCCCATATTTGTTGGTGGCTCACCAGGGGATGTAACAGCTGTTTGGGTTTCAGGCTCTGAAGTAGGAGGGAAATTTCCCCCTGGGGGTGTTGCTTGGTTTGGTTTTTATTTTCTTTTTCTGAGTTGTTGGGCTTCTCAGTGCTGTGTCACAGAGTCAGATGATTGCAGAAGCTCAGCCAGAGTGATGACATTCAAGCCTCTTGAGGCCTGATCATTCACCTGTCATCTGGGCAGATGCAAGCTTGGCCGTGCAAACTGACCTGGTCAAAACCCAGCCTGCAGGTTAGAAGCACTGAGTGGAGCCCCTGAGGCATGTGCAGATCAGTACACTCCCAGCTAAGCCCTGTTTCCAATCTGTGAAAATAAGAACCTTTCTTGGGTGAGATGTTTGTGTCATTCAGCATGACTCTGCCAGTTTAAGGAGGTCACCTAGTCCTCCTAGTGCCTGCAAACTAGTCCAGGCTGGTTGGAAACAGGCCCAGGGAGATCTTGAAACTTCTGTTGCTAAGAATACGAATAGTTTCCATCTTCTGTGTTAGAGGAAGACACCTAGATCTGATGTCTTGCTACAGACTGATAATTAAAACAGTCCCTTTTTAGATGGTTTTTCTTCCTACCTATATTTTCTTTCATAAAAATAAAATAAAGCGAAGGAATAAGGACCATAATAGTGGAAATATAATTTCAGGCAACTGTGTGCAGTCTCAGTTTTTATCCTTGCAGAAACCCAATGAAGCATAGGCACTTCTGCAAGCTTCATTTAAACAAATGGCAGGCAGGTTAGCAAAGTAAATGACTTGTCCAAGGTCACAAAGCTACAAAAGAGACAATATCAGTGTTAGGGTCCATACTCTTAAGTTTTATGATAAATTCCATGTAAGCCAAGGATTTAAAGTAAAATGTCCTGAAGTCAGGTCCAGATCCTCTGATTTTCACATGAAGACTCATTCTCCTCCACTGTAAGAGGGACTGGCCCCAATTTTATAGGGTAGCTGTGGAAACATTGGGATATATTACACATGCAGACCACAATCCACCAAAGTCAGCTTCTAATATTTAATATTAACTGTTTACCAAAATTATTATTGATTCCCTATAAAATGCCTTTTCAATGTCGTTGATAAAGATGTATTTCTCCTTTAAAAAATAGTAATTGGGTAATCTGGCACTTGATTAAAATTTGGACACAGAACTTGTGTCTGATAGTCTGTTGTAAGATACATCATGAGTGCATGCCTTTAAGTAATCTTAAAGATAGGAATTACTGAATGCTTTCAAAGTTAAATAGGTTCAGAAATAGTAGAAAAACATTTCTGTTTTGGAAAGAACAATATTTTTTCCCCTTCACTGTTAGAGGCCTCTGTAATTTGAGAAATAATATGTTATTTTTATAGAGAACTTAAAACATTTTAATGATAGGCACTATGTTTTGAGGTTTTTCTTCTTAGGAACTCAATATACTTCTCATATATTTTTCTTATCCTTAAACCAACTCTGCAGAGTTACTTGCCAACATATTATCCCTGTCTTACTACTTGGACCTAATGGTGGTTTGATGCCACAGTGATTGTTTGGTTCCATTAAAGAGCTAAGCCAGTTTTCAGGGCCACTTGGGGGGAAAAAGATTTAAAGTTTTTAAAGCCAAAGTACATCTTTAAATTTTCCTATATTCAGCTGGCATGACAACACATGCCTGTAATCCCGGCTTCTTGACAGACTGAAGCAGGAGGATCTCAAGTTCAAGGCCAACCTGACAACTTAGGGAGACCCTGTCTCAAAAATTAAAAAAAAAAAAAAAAAAAGCTGGGACTGTAACTGACTGGTAGAGTGCTTGCTTGCCATGTGCAAGGCCCCAGATTCACTCCCCAGGACACACACACAGTTTTTTATTTTATTTTTTAACTTTTTAAAAATTTTTATGTATTTATTCATTCATTCATTCATTCATTCATTTAGGTACTGGGAATTTAACCCAGAGGCACTAGACCATAAAGCCACATCCCCAGCCCTATTTTGTATTTTATTTAGAGATACGGTCTTACCGAGTTGTTTAGTGCCTCGCCATTGCTGAGGCTGGCTTTGAACTTGTGATCCTCCTGCTTCAGCCTCCCAAGCCACCGGTATTACAGGCATGCACCACCGCATCTGGCTTTGTTTTTTTTTAATGTTCATGCTGGCTGTCATCTTCCAAAAAAGGGACATGCAGAGATAATTAAAGAAATGGTCAACACTGCTGCCTCAAAATGCTAACATCTCTATAAGCATGAAAATTTCATGGAATTTTGGGGATCTGAAAAAAATTTGTTATAAATTTAAAAAAAATTTTAAATGACATCTGCTTGTCATTTTAATTGGCTTCAAACTATGCACAGTGTCCCTGCTGAATCACCTATATTCCCCCAATGAATTAAACACAAGTTGAGCTATTATTGAAAATAATTAGAAGTAGCAACTTACCTATTTGTGGAAGTCCAATTACAAAAGTAGCTTATCTTCTTCCTCAAGACCAGAGGCTTCTGGTGGCTGAGACAGTCATGGGGTTGACAGTTGGTGACCAAGAGAAAATGGGTGCTAACTAACCAGGTACAGAGAGGTCACAGAATTAAGTGGATTTCAGCCCTGACTGCACATTAGAGTCAACTACGAGGCTTGACAGACTTCAGAGGCCTGCCTCTAGAACTTCAGACTTAATTAGTTGAAGACAGTACTCGGGTATTGCCCCCTTTAAAATGCTAGCCAGGTGATCCCAATGAGTTTTCAAGTTTGCACATCAGCTCAGAAATGACTTTGGAGCCCAAATGTTATATTTTACATAATGGGGTTTTAAACAACAGACCCTGAAGAATTAAATTTTGGATATGACTTCTAGGGTATATACTGTGGTCCATTAGGAATGAATGCAGTAATGGACAGGGAACAGCCCCTTTGACATCCCACTTTGAATTCAAAGCTTATTAGCTGGGACACCATCTGCAAATCCGCCACTGTACCTCTCCAAACTATAACACTGGAGTAATCATATCTGTATTAAAACATTTTTGTGAGAATGGAAAATACAGTAGGAAAATAAAGATAACGGATATGAAAATGTTATATAAGTTTCAAAATGCATTGTAATTTATTTTTCAGGAAGGAGGTAGGATCTAAACATATGCAGTCATCTTTCCTCGGCAATTAATCCAATAAGTCCCAAGTTTTCAAATTTGTGAACATAATAATTATTTCAAAGTTAATATAAGCGGTATATTACTCAATGTAAGTTTTTATAGGTGTTCTACATCTGGGCTGATGGGACAAGGAAGTCTCAATTTGCAGAACAGATACAGTGTGGGGTTGGAGGACATTTGCCTATTTGCTTAGAATGGGTGCTTAGAACTTGTATACATTTTTTAAATCCCTATGCTCTCGCTAGTGAGGCTCAACAACAGAAAACATCAACATTTACCCAAGTGCCTATCCCTGTTCCCCACGGAGTCAGTTGAGAAAACTGCATTATTGGGATAACATAAATGAAGATAAAACCTGAACCATACCAATAAAAAGCATAGCTTAAAAAGGGCAGGAACCAACAGCTAAGTAACTGTGATTGCTGAGTAGAACTGGAACTTGAACTCAGATTTGTACTATTCCAGAATCTGTGCTCCTGTCACTTGGCCCTGCCACTATCCAGTGAGGGAAATAGGAAGATAAAATAGATACAACCCTGCATTAAGGTCTACTGCAAGTGTCAGCAAATTGCTGGCCCTTAGGCTTATACAGCCTACTACCTATGTTTGCATGGACTACAAGCTAAGAATGATTTGTATATTTTTTAATATCTTACAAATAAAAACTATACTATTTTATAACATAAAAATTATATGCAACTCAAATTTCAGTATCCATAATATTTTATTGTAACATAGCTATGTTCATTCATTAAATATTGTCAATACTCTTTCTGTGCTAAATGCATAGTTGGGTTCAGAGTTGAGCAACAGAGTTATTATGGCCTGTAAGTCTAAAACATTCATGATCTGGCCTTTACATAAAAAGTTGTTGACCACTGCTTTACCATCTAACTGGTTATTTGAGGAATATGCATTAAAGGAAGTTACCTGAGCCATCAACATAAGAGAGTTTGAAAGTACCAAGATGTAGCAGAGCCAGATGGCCTATGAACTTCCAGAGGTAGGATCATGTGGGCAGGGTAGCTGAAAAAGTCTTCAAGGAGAAAGTGGGGTTTGAACTGGTCTTGAGTAGGGATAGACTGAATGGAGGCAGGCAGGACTCAGGTCTGTTCAGAGACCAGTGAGCAGAATATTCCATTTGGACAAAAGTAGCAGTGTACTTTATGATTCAGGATCAGCTAAGAGAATGGCCACAGGCTGGTTGAGCATGATCCTGGACAGGCCTCACTCATTCACCTGCTACATGGGAATGATGATCATAGTACTCCTCCCAGAGCTGTGACTGACACTGAATGAGATAAGCAGGTCACAGTGCCTGTGTGATAAGAAGCCCATGAGCTCTGCTGATGACTAGTCATTTAAATCTGACTAGGAGGAGATTGCACAGGTTTGAGAAGAGGCTTTGAAGGTGAAGCTACTTCATGCACCATAATCTGGCAAGCAGGAGGGAGCTGCAGGGTGGGAAATAAACAAGGAACAGGGCACCTTGAAAAAGCAGTATTTCAGATTCATGATTTTGAAATGGCTTCTGACATTTCCAGATGCTATCAATTATCATATGATAAGTCTGTTACCGTGCAGTTTGCTGATCACATCCCTGTACTTTTATTTTGTTGATGAGCATCATCAGGTGGTTCAGAAGGCAGTTGTTGTTACCCATTTTAAAGATGAGGAAGCAGAAGCCATGGAACTGAGTGATTTGCACAAGGTCACCTAGCCAGAAAGGGATGCAGAGGCAAAACAGGACCTGAATCTGGTCCTGACTCATGCTCCAGTGTATTCTCCCCTCCACCACATATCTTGGATGGAGAAGTTCAGAATGGAGCCTGCCCTCTTCTATAATCACTAAATTATTTGCACACACTGTCTTACAGGAGAAATCATGTCAGGATGACCTTGATCATCACTTCCAGCTCTCTCTATGGGATGAGAATGAGGGCAACTATATGGTAACTGTAGCTGTCATTATCAGCCCCAGAAGGTCATGCAGAACTTGAGTACTAATTTCCCTGACTAGAGTATACTAACCCATATGTGTTACTCGATCAGGAAGGACAAGTAAAATTTGCAACCCACCCTCCTGCAGCAAAAAAGAACATCACAACCTAAACCAATGCACATTCTTTTTTTTCCCCCCACATTACCACCCTAAGTCTATTTGAATATTTCCAGAAAGTTTCTGCATTCCTACCACCCCTGAAGTGCATTTTCCAAAAACATGTTTTAGTTTAAGTTGACTGGCGGTTTGGCAAACAAAAGGTTGAATATGGCCCAATGACTCAAATTTAAACCCAGTGCCTTAAATTGAGAGCATGCTGTTGCCAAACCCCTGCGGGTCATGATTAGCATGAGCAGCCTGGCCCTGCACATAGGTTCCTCTGCTTCAATGACCTTGGGGATTTACTTGGTGCTACACACACTTGGTGGCCTTTCTGTGATGGAGGGTGGCCCTGCCACCTGGGCCATAAAACTGGTGGTATCTGGAATAGAGGGAAGGTGGCCAGCTGCCACACAGCAACAGAGTCAACAGAGAAGGGCTGTGACTCCATCTGAAAGGGACTCTCAGAAATGATCATGAGTGATGATGACTTTGTATTTTCCTATCTGATTTTATTTTGGAAACCACTGGATCAAAAGCATGCCAGTTTGTATAATGCTTTTCTTGAGGACTCAGAATCTAGACACATAGCACAAAAGGCTCAGAAACATATTTTATGTTGAAATTGACTTAGATCTCTAAGCTGAGTTGGTGCTTATTATAGAGAGGAACATGCCAAATTGTATAGGTAAGCTAAGTTTTTAAGTGTCAGTTCAGCAGACTTTTGCTCGTCCAAGGAGGAATGTTCCTGAGGGTATCTGACACTGTGCTCTGAGCAACTAGTATCTGAAGGTCTCTTGATTCCATTAAAGAAGGAGATCAACAGTGTCCAGGAGCAAATTCCCATCATCCTCCTGCTAGGTCTCCACAGGGTGCACAGTGCTTCAAAGGCACAGAGAAAGCCTTTGAGTCCATGAACTTCTGTTTTGAGGCCACAAACTCACAGTGCCTTAGCCACTTGAGAATCACGGGGGATCTGGCCCCTGCTTGTCAGGTACTTCCAGCCTACTTTGGGTGACAAGACACAACATTTAATGAACAAGTTGAGTTTGGTACTGGCTAGGAGCAAGTGGTTTCTTGGGAGAGGTAGAACCTGAGAATCTGCTTCTTTGAAGGATGACCAGGATTTGGCAGATGGAGAGGCAGGGGGAAGGCTTTGAAGGGACAAATGACATGAGCAGAAACCTGGATATGAGAAAGAATGGAAGTGAAGGGGAGTGATCATGGGTGAGGGCTGAGGACAGTGTGACATTCAGCATCATAAAATCAGAATAGAGGTGGGGATATCAGTTTAAGAAAGATCACTGAGCTAACCATTGATGCTCAGAACCGGGCACCGATGTAACATCAAAATTAATTGGGATCAGTGAAAGATGGAGAGGCAAGTTCCTCTCAGCTGAGGATACGATTAATTCATGTAAACTTGGCCCTCGCTATTTTAACTCCCTCAGTTAGAAAGATGTTTCACTTGCAAATAATATTTACCCAATCTTGACATGCCTGAAGATTATTAATGCTGCTGAAATTTTTCCTCTTCCAACCTGTCAGTGTTTAAGCTCAAAGTCAGGACAAAACTTTCCAGGCTCATGCTCTGTGTTATCCATTGAGTAAATAAGGGTCTTGGAAGTGCATGGTACTGAGTGCAGGCAGAGGCCCTGCCTAATATAACCAAGAGTTTATTGCAAAAGACATCACCTTCTGGTGGGCACCCAGCTTGGGTACTGAGCGTGAGACATGGCTGGGACTTCTTGAGGCTGGTCCTCTTTCCTGCCTTTGATAACAGTGGCAGACTTTCCAGTCAAGCTTCAGAGCCCTGCTGTCATGGGAGATGGAAGAGTTGGAGCATAACTTCTGTTCTTAACAATCTCCCATGAGATAGAGTATGCTTGGGCAACAGCCTCATGGTTAACCTCCATGTGGTTTTGACCTTCTAAACTAACAGGCAAGGGAAGCTGCTATTTTTGTTACTTTTTTTTTTTTAAAGTTGTAGATGGACACAATACCTTTATTTTATTTATTTATTTAATGTGGTGCTAAAGATCAAACCCAGTGCCTCACATGTGCTAGGCAAGAGCTCTACCACTGAGCTACAACCCCAGCCCCATTTGAGGATTTTAAGCATGGAAGTGATATGCACTGATGTATTTTTACAAATAAGAGAGCGATGTTAGGATGCACTGAGGGAAGAGAAGGAGCTTGCTTTTATGTGAGTAATGTAGGAGGGAACTCTCTCCTGCCTGTGTGTCTTCCAAATATCACTTCATTTGTGGTTGATGTGCATTCTGAGATTTGCTCTTCTGCATTGCCTGCAACTAGATTTTTCTCCAACTCATCATCTCCAAACTAGCAAGAGCTAAAGCTGAAGAGCAGGATGTGGTTTGGGCAAGTGGTGACCACCACCCCTTCCTCTAGTAGCACAGCCTCATTCCTATTACTGCTCAACCAGTCACTACAGATCAGGCCTGATCACCACACTGGCCACACCACAATGACAAGGTGGAATTCAGGAGGAGCCCAGAGCCCTCCTCCTTTTTCCCCCTCCCCCTCTTGCCTCTCAAACACAGCCACAAATTACTGGCACCTGGGCTAAATTTGCCCAGTAGAAAACAAACAACCACTTCCAAACAATCCATTTTCCTCTGCTCTCTTTTTTCTCTTGTGGCTAAGGAGGAAGAATCCAGTTGGCTCAGTCATTTTGGTAAACAAATTGCTAGATACAAACCTACTGCCCCAGGGGCATACAACTCGATGAACATTGAAGTCAAATTAACAAATTCTGTCCTCTTTACTACTAGTCCCAAACAACACTGCTACTGTTTCTGGACCTGCGTACAAAATAAACTGAATGTTTAACCCAAAGCAATTGCCTCCTCCTAAATGTGCTATTACAAACATGCTGCATATTGTTTCTCCCTTAACATGAAAAGCTGATCACCAGTCACAGAATAATACTGATGTGAATTTCCAAGCTCTGTGTCCCCAGAACATAACAATACATAGTACTGCTACTATTAAGAGTAAAATTTGGCCCCGCATTTGCTTTTGCTGGTACGTCTTTAGGTGAGTTATTTAACTTCTCCGAGCCTCAGTGTCTTCATTTTAGCAAACTACCTCATTGGGTTGTTGTTGAAGATTAAACAAGATCATGTATGCAAAGCCCTTGGCACATTCTCTGTCACATGGTAAACACTCATTATTGTTAGCAAAATAAGATTTCATGGTACGTGTATCTATGCAAGTCTAAAAGATGTGTCAACATTAGCTTTTACCAACAGACAGGGAGTTATTAAAGGCATCACAAACATAATAAAAATGACAGAAAGAAACATTTAAATTTGAAAGCATTTAATTGACAACACAACTAGAATATAGAGTCTTTAAATGGGCTATACTTTGTCCTATTAATTCACTATTTTCTGCAATGGCAATAATTTTATCTAGCAATATTCTCTGTATTATGATAAAAGCCAATGATAATAATGTATTTGGTATACCAAGCACAGTTGTAAGTGCTATATGAATTTGTTTAATCTTCACAGTAACTTGAAGTGGATGCTACTATTATGCATATTTTATAGATGGGAAAACTGAGGCAAGCAGTTGGGCTCTGGAACTTCCACTCTTAAACTCTAGCTATAAATCAGAAGTTGGCAAACTATGGCCCAAGCACCTGGCCCTCTACCTGTTTTTGTAAATAAAGATTTATTAGAACACACCTATACACATCATTTACATATTGTTCAAGGCTGCTTTTGCACTACCACCATAAACCTGAGTGTTACAGAGGAGACCATGAAATCCACAAACCCTAAACATTTACTAAACTGGCCCTTTTCAGAAGTTTGCCAACCCCAGATGTCAACTTCAAACTTCACTAGCAGACTGGGATTTCAAAGAAGAAAACTATCTTATAATAATAATAATGCCTTATTTGGGGCATGGATTTTTACGTATTTATCTCACCTAATTCTCATAATAATCCTGTGAAGTAGGTAGTTTTTTTATTGCCATTTTAGAAATAAAGAAACTGGGGCTATGAGAGATTAAATGACTAGACAGTAAACTCCTTGAGACTAAGGATCATGTGTCTTTACCGTCATACCCGATGGGCATGACCTACCACAACGCTAGGACAAAGTGAACACTCAGAAACACTTGCCAAATGAATGACAGTTGTAAAGGTCACCAAGCTGAAGAATCCAGGTCTCCTATTCCAGGGTTCCACAGCTGCCTGGCAGTAAAAAAAGAGACTTTCCCTTGAGATCGGATGAAACACAGAGTAGTTGACATGTCATTCTGCTGTCTGTTGACAAATCCTTGCTGATATATTCTTCCCTGGCCTAGTCAAAGAAGATAATCTCAGCCAGTCCAAAGGGCTTTTTGTTTCCCGTTAAATGCACAGTCAGAGCCTTCAGAGTTTTCTTGTCCTTGTGATTGGTGCACTTTTAGACGAGATTAAAACTGACACCCTCCATGAGATGGTAATCACATGGAATCTGGGTTTTGGACAGATTTCAGGCCAAGCGCTGCCTTCGCTCCTCCTGCCCCCTCGACCCACCTCCCACCCAGTGGTGAGTCACAGTGAGCCGGCTGCCTCCAGAGCAGACTCCCGGCTTTTGTTTTCTTTCATCTTGCTCTGTGCTGATCATGTGAGGCTCAGGGTATTAATAAACCACCGCCTGGGCCTTCTGGATCTTGCTGTGGGTCAGGGAGATAAATGAAAAGTTTGGCTAGCCCCTTTGTGCCACTTTCACTCATCTCTTGACTGTCACATGCTGGTTGGTGGCAGAAGTAAATCAGATAGGCAGAGAGCATTCAGTGTGGTCACTGCCCATAGCCATGTCCTCTACCCGTGTTTTGATTTCTTGCCTTTCTTAGCAACACAGTCAGCTCCTACCTTCCAGCCTTAGGTCACTAGTTCTCACCCCAAAAACCAGTTCCTATGTGTGTGGAAGATACATATCCAGGCACGAAAAGTGTTTTGGGTTTCTCTTTTTTTCTCTTATTTTTCAACTTAAAATTTGTGTTCAGGAAATGAAGTCTTTCCGGGGGTTTGACAGGTGCCTAAAAGGCTCAGTGGGGACAAATGTTTGAACAAGTGCTTTGGAAGCAGAGGTGCTCTCAACTGCCTGGGGCTTGAGCCAAGATTTCAGTCCTCCTCTGCAACCCAGGTTTTTTAAATTTCACTTTGCTTCTTCCCTCAGCCTTGATGCCAGCACCCAACACAGCACCATAGTCAGTGTTTTGGAGTTGCGTGGGATCCTGGCCAGGGCCATCTCTTATAGAAAGTTCCTAGGAACAGGAATTCCAAGAAAGAAAGGGTCTTAGTTTTCTATTTTACAAAGTCTCAATCTAGTTTGCTCTCCTGGGGACCTGGTGGGTTCTGAAACTAATTTTCACTTTGTGTCAACCCTTTCTTTTGATACCTGTTGGAAAGCATGAGGAGTGTCTCCTTATTTTCCCATTTCCAAGATACTGCTTTGTCCTCTTGCTGGCTGTGAAGTTGTTTGCTTAAGCCTCACTTTGTTCATCTGTTTAGTGTGTCGAACTAGACCATCTGTAAGACCCCTGCAAAAATTCTACTGTTGAACTTTCGTGTTTCAACAGTAGAATCTTTGGGGTTTTTAAAATCATGACACAGGAGTACAGAATTTTCCCATACAAGGAAAGAAAACTAAACTAAGAACACACCAACTTCAGTTCTTATCTGTTCCATTTGGGGATAGCAGATTAGGAACGGGACATAGTCCTTCAACAAGCCAATCGATATTTTTTAGCACCCAATATGTTCCAGACACTGCACTAAGGGCTGCATGTGCATTGTCTCATTTAAAGCTCACAACAACCTCAGGGACTCTGAGTATTAATAGAAACCTTGGGTTACCAAGAAAGCTAGTGACTTGCCCATAATCACAGTCAAATCAAGACTTGATCAAGGCTAAGAATTATGAGGATCCTAGTTCTCAGCCACAGTGACATCACTGCCACCAGATCAAAACAGGTATTCAGACTACAAGTCCTTAAATTGCCCTCACTCTGCTCTGATTGGCCCCTTTCTATAGAAAGTTGAGTGCAGTGAGATTCTAATGAATAGGTGCATTTATTGAACACTTCATAAGCAGGAGATATCTGGAAACTAATTGCTATGTCCTTGAAAAATGCATGAAGTACTGAACATGAGCTTCCAGGTGCCTCCAAGGCAGTCGGTGCCAATGGGGGAAAAGTTCAAGTGGGAGCAGAGCAGAGAAGTTCTGTGAGGCGGGTAGGGGGACTGATTATGCAGAACTCAAGAGGCATCATGGGAGATTTTGTTCTCTTCAGAGTACCCTCAGCTCTGCCCACTGAAGTAGGGAAAGTAGAATGGATTACCCACCCCCAAAGCCAAAAGTCTTTACATTTAAAAGGAAAAAAGCAATTAAATATTCAGCCTGATTCATGGGTCTTGAATTACCCCATTTGTCTCTCATGTCAAACATCTGCTTTATTGCCTGGTAGTCCTGCCTGCCATTTATCTCTCTTCGTCAGTCTGTGTCTACATGTCATGTGACTCAAAAGTGAAGATTAGAAGAGAAAAATATCTCCAAATTCTAAGCCTGGCAACTTCTATTTTTATCCACAGCTGTTGGAACTGATAGCAAAGTCACAGCTCACATCCCTGAGTGGTATCGCCCAAAAGAACTTCATGAACATTTTGGAAAAGGTGGTACTAAAAGGTGAGCCCACTCTCTCACCCTTTTTGTAGGCAAGGTGATGGACAGATGGATTTCTCATACAGTAGACATGTATTTGATTTAAATTAATATCAGTGGATGGAAATGAATAACTCCAGCTGCATTTCAGGGGTACCACGTTCTGATGATGGCAAAGAATGAGACCATCATCGTCCTGTGTCTCTGGGATGATTCATTCGCTCTGCTTTGCATCGCAAGCTTCTCCATGGGAGCACACATCCCACCCTTAGCTACTGAGTCTCCAAATGACGAGGAAATTTAGCTGTGTGCATCTCAATTCTTAGGTTATTTGAGCTACAGGGAACCTTAGACTTCTGGCTTAAGTAGGTCATTATACACCCAGGAGAAGGGGTTTGTCCACAATCATACAGAGATCAACCCAACCTCCTAACCCCAGAACTGTGTTCTTTCCACTGGTGATCTAAAAGATGCCACTACTGAGCAAAAGTAGCAGCTTTCTGATCAGGTGAATCATTGGTGCTATGGAACAATGGAGAGAGAAAGGGGCTTTATAGAGAATCAGGAAGAACAAAGAGGGACCTAGATCATGGAAACTCTACCCCTTAGCCTTGAGTACAGAAGCTTGGCCAAATGTAGAATCAACACTGGTGAGAAAGAAAACTGTATCCCCAGAGGCAGTGCCTGGTAACAGGAGCAGATGAGAAGAAAAGCTCACTTTAAAAACACACAGTGTTCCACTATCATAACTGTATTTTTTTTCTTCTCTACTCAAGTCCTTGAAGACCAGCAAAACATTAGACTCATAAGGGAACTACTGCAGACCCTCTATACATCCTTATGTACACTAGTCCAGAGAGTCGGCAAGTCTGTGCTGGTGGGCAACATTAACATGTGGGTGTACCGCATGGAGACGATTCTACACTGGCAGCAGCAGCTGAACAACATCCAGATTACCAGGGTAAGCGGGAAGGCTCCTCCAGGCAATTGGGTCCGCCACTGGGATGCCTGGCAGTCTTGCCAGGACTTCAAATCCACACTGTGATGAAGGAGTCTGATCTCCTCTGATTCCATGCTTTAGCCTGGTGCAGAAGATGGGCTGAGGTTGAGGGGGCTTCCTGCTAAAGGGAGGGTAGGAAGAAGAACTTGGCAGTACAGGATCAAAGTATGTGAAAGAGCACAGCCAGATGAATCATCTAAGATCTTGAAACATCATGGGATCTTGGCTTTAGGGCAGATGCTAGCTGTCCCACTGAAGTACTCAGTAGGGTGCAGAGATTTCTCTTCCCATTTCTCACAAAGAATGAATTATTTGCAGCTTTGGGATGCTGCCTTGACTATAGTAGTGCTGTGGAGGCTGTGGCTTGGAGGACTGGTACCAGCCTTTTAAAATCCTGTTTCCAATTATTAGTTGTACAAAGGAAGACTGTGATTAGAGACTGTGGACATGCATGTGCAAAACCAGGCACTTCTCACTCAAAGGGCGAGGGGAAGCCATATGTTACCAGCAAAACATGGCTACCATTATCAGTAGTTCCTTTTAGCTTCAAAACATAACTCACCCTCGGCTCTTGTCCTCTTAATAGTGAGCAGAAAGACTGAGGCACACAAAAAATATACAAAAGATGCTGGAATGATCTCTCTGGGCTCACTAATGGACAGACACTTAGGCACCTCACATGGCACTTTGCCTACTTATCTGACACTGACTTATCTGACCACTGACTTATCTGACTGCTGTTTAAGTGGTTTCCGGGACCCACACTGATAAAGTTAGGGCTGTACCATATCAGGAGAAGGTAGTATGCAGAGATCTCCTTTACCTTATTTTATTGTCCTAGGGATCAAACCCAGGGTCTTGCTCATGCTAGGCAAGTGCTCTTCCACTGAGCCACACCCCTAGCCCCCCAACCCCCTTTAAAGAAGTGGTTTACTATGTGAAGTGTTCGAACTGCATGTCCTTTACTGTTAACAATTTCCCTATGCCTTGGTTTCTTAAGATCAGGAACAGAGGGGATAATTAGAAGCCTCAGAGTTATTTGGCTCTCTTAGAGTCACGTGGGCTACAACACCCACACCTCACACACCCACACACGCTCATGCAGGCACACACATGCATGCACAGAGCAGAGCACAAAGGTGGGTTGCCCCACAGAAGCCATTTCAGTTATTGGATTGTTTTAAGAGAATGTGAGTGTTTATCATGAATAGTAACCTGATGCATTCTAATAATTTACCCCAAGCCCATCTCTCAAATGTAGGCATCATTTGACAGTGTGAAGTTGAAACTGAAATTTCATCTTCTCTCTCAGAGAAAACTCATTTACCCCTTCTTCTCGATTTCTAGAATTCTCTGTGGCCTGGATTGAACCCAGAAGTACTTAGCCACTGAGCCACATCCCTGGCCCTTTACTTACTTACTTATTTATTTAAATTTTGAGACAGGCTCTGAGCAACTTTAGTTGCTAAGGCTGGCTTTGAACTTGAGATCCTCCTGCCTTAGCCTCCCAAACCACTGGGATTGCAGGCATGCACCACCACACCCGGCTTGGATTTAATATTTCCTATCTTAAATCAGGAAAGAATTACCCAGCCAGTGATATAAAGGAGCAAGTCTCATTTGTCCCAAAGACATCCTCCCTCCAGCAATGTTGGAACAGCCATTAGATGGTCACACTTGCTCAGAGCTCACCATGGTCCCCCTGCCCACACTATAGGAGCCCCCATTGGCCACATCTATTCCCAGACATACCTAGTACTTGCATGGGCTTACTCCCTCAGAGCTCTCCTTAGTTGGTCCCCAAACACTCTTGGTAGGTAACCATAATAGTTACTATTACCCTTCATGTGCTGGAGCTAGGATGGGGACCAGAGAAGCCTAGTGACTTTCCCAGCATTACACAGCAATTAGAGCTAGAGCTAAGGTCAGAACCCTGGACTGCTTATTCCTAAAATGGCAAAGCTAGCTTAACTTTCGTGGTTTCCAAACATTTTTCCCCATCCAGTTTTCTTCCAACTATTTATCCAGTGATCCATTTTTTTAATTAAAAAAAAAGAACTTTTTAATCCAATGAAATCCTGTGCAGAAGAGACCAAACGCAGCAGCTCACCCCACTTCATTTTGCTTGAGGTGTCCCGCCAAGCCCAGCTACTCTTTGTACACTCTGATCTTCCTGGCTTGCAACCTTCCTGACCACCCCAACTATTGAAACCACAGCCTTCTTCAGAGCAGTTACTATGATCCAAAATCATCTCATGCATAGGTACTTTCCCATCTCTGACCACTGGTTTACAGATTCCACAAAGACAGAGTGGAATGTTGCGTTTAAGCCATTACAATTTAGGGTTACTACTGAGATATGGTTTGTATATCAAAGACAGGGCCTTACCCATTCCTCCACACCTGGCACAGAGGTGGCAAGCAGTTTGAGTTGAATGAATGCACGTTTGAAGGGGAGTCTCCTCCATGACCCACTGAAGTACTTATCCAGGGTTCAACAGTGCATATTAGAAAATACTGCCATGGATCATGGAGGATAAATATGACTAACTGCAGGTTTGGGGGAAAGTTATTCGATTTCTCCATGCCTCGCTCTCCTCCCTTTGAAAATAGGAATAGGCCCTGGTGTGAGTGTTCATAAAATTAATCTATACAAAGCAGTTTCAATAGTGTCTGATGTGTAGCAAGTGTTTTAAAGGTGTTGAGTGTTATTATTATCAAGAGCTTGCTCTGTGCACTCACTCTTCTAAGACCTTCATATGTACTAATTAGCTCATCTAGTGAATTGTAAATAGAACTAATGGCCAAAATTTACTGGTCACTGTAGTAAGTACTTCTGTGCATGATCCCATCTGCTCCACCCAGCAGCACTGTAAGATATGCATTGCCTCATTTTATCAATGAGAAAAATTAGAGTAGTCATCTTCAATAAGCCCCCCAGGGATTGATTCCAGAATCCTCTGAGCATACCAAAACCCATGGATGCTCAAGTCCTTTAGATTAGATGACATAGTATTTGCATTTAACCTATGCAGAACCTCCTGTCTCTAAATCACTTATAATACAATTTAACTGCTATGTAAATAGTTGTCATGATATAGTGTTTAAGGAATAATGATCAAGAAAAGATGCCTATACAAGTTTAACACAAATGTGATATTTTTAAAATAATTTCTGGTTAAATTGGCTGGTTAAATCCAAGGATGCAGGTCTCAGGATATGGGGGGCTGGGTGTAATTTGACTGGAGTCTCAGTGTTGGTAGGATCTGGCACAGGGATTGAATCCAGGCCTGTCTTCAAGGGCTGTGCTTCCTCCTCCATCTTGTCCTATGCCCCAACCCTCCTGGGCTTTGAGCTCTATTATCTTCAGGGCCCTGCTGGAACCCACCAGCTCTGAAGAGCTTTCCATGTGAATGCCCAACTCTGCAGGGGTTGGGGGAGAGGGAGAGGGACAGGGAGAGGGACAGGGAGGGGGGGGGAGGGAGGGGGAGAGAGGGGGAAGAGAGTGAGAGGGAGAGAGGGAGAGGGGGAGAGAGAGAGAGAGGGAGGGAGAGGGAGGGAGGGAGGGAGAGAGAGAGAGAGGGAGAGAGAGAGAGAGAAGGGACTTAATTACTACAGTCTGGACTGTATTTTAAAACATACTTTTTAACAGTTTGGCCCAAAAGAGAGGTATGTTGTTGCATGAAAATAGGAAGGTGATTTGGGGAGTAAATGCTTTTTATTTGCCAAAGTTCTAGCAGTATCTTCCCAACACATAATCTTGTTTTCCTTCGAAATTTTCATATCTAATTATTTTGAACCAATTTTTTATTGGCAAGTATAATTCACATAATAAAAGATGAAGGAAAAATTAAAAGAACTGGTTTGTAGAGGAGAGAAATCAAATCTAATAACCTTGCTGTGGGCCAGGCAGTGTTTTGAAACAAGGGGGAGGGTAGACAGAAATGGATTCTAGCCAATGCTTGATTGGAGGAGCGAGAGTGACGTATTTTTCTTTTATATGTTTATATTCAGGCAGAAGAAGGCATGCAAGCAGTTAACCATTTATCAGGAGTAAGGGCTTGGCATGGGGTCTGGGCAAGGAATTAGGAAAAGTTCAGGTTTGAAAATTTGACAGAGTGAACTCTGCCCAAGTAGACTTGCCTTTAATAGGAGTTAATGTAATAATTGGCCTGGGAGTTTTAACCAAAAAAGTAGAGGCTTTGAAGTGCTGGAAACAGAAAGAAAATCTCATGGCAGTTTTATTAGCTCATATGATCAGCAGCAGATGATAAACGACAAATAGGTCCAGGGCCTTCTGCGGTCCCGTGAAGTCCTGAACGTTGCAAATAATTGAAAGTTCAGCCCAGCAGCCTGGGGTGGAACGGAGCAATAAAAATTGCCAAGTCATAGACACTTCTGATGAACCAGGAGGCTGAAGTCACTCCAAGTCTGAGATTGTTAGAGCTGGAGGGATCTTCAGTCTTCAAAACCTGGCCACTTTGGACCCTGTACCCAAGGGTACCTGGATCCAGATCTGCTGCCATCTGTTCTTTTTGTTAGTCCCCTTCTCAAGTCCACCTTCCCACTACATGCCTGTCCTGCCTTGAAGGGGACATGGGAGCAATAACTGAGGCTGCATGACCCTCAGGGTCCTCTGTATGTTTGGGCTTTGATGTGCTTCCTACAGAAGTTCACTCTCTAAAAACTTGAGGAAGAGGGCTGGGGTACCACTTAGGATTTATTTTAGAAGAGTTGTGTCAGCCAGCCTCAGCAACTAAGGAGGCCCTAAGCAACTTCATGAGACCCTGTCTCAAAATAAAAAATAAAATAGGCTGGGGATGTGGCTCAGTGTTTAAGTGCCATTGGGTTTAATCTCTGGTACCAAAAAAAAGGGGGGGGGGTGTCACATAACAAATAGGAGGTGTTGCAAAAAAGATCTGAAAGATCTGAAAGAGATCATGGGCACTCTGGGAGGTGCAATAAATGAGGCCAGAGGGAATCACAAAAGCAGGAAAGGCCATTCAGAGGAAATGTGTTTGAAGTGCACCTAAAGGACAGGAGAGGACCATGGGGGGGGGGGGGCGGTGCGGCATTGTGCAGAAGTGGGCAAGATGTGTCAGGTGCCTGTGAGTAAACCTGTATAGAGGCTCCAAGGTCATGAGGCAGGGGGCAGTGAGACAAGAGGCCAGCCAGCACGTTGGGGCTCTCCCTCCAGGCCCATAAGGCCTTCAGGAAGGTAGCAAACATGATGACTGAGCCCTGAATTGAAAGAAGCTCTAGAATTCAACCTGTGCTATTTGGAGAATCATTTACAGTAAAATCACAGAGCTTCGTGAAACTTAGGAGACTCCCTCTGGTACCATCAGCACAAGCCACTCTAGGCTGTTCTTCGTGTGTCTCGGCCATGGGTCCCATTCTGTATGTAGGATGGGGACAATTACTTTTTTTTTTTTTTTTTTATTATTGTTGGTTGTTCAAAACATTACAAATTTCTTGACATATCATATTCCACACTTTGATTCAAGTGGGTTATGAACTCCCACCTTCACCCCATACACAGATTGCAGAATCACATCAGTTACACATCCATTGATTTACATATTGCCATACTAGTGTCTGTTGTGCTCCTCTGCCTTTCCCATCCTCCCCCCTCCCCCCTCCCCACCTCTCCCCTCCCCTCCCCACCTCTCTCTCTACCCCCTCCACTGTATAACCCTGAGGGTCTCCTTCCATTTCCATGCAATTTCCCTTCTCTCTCCCTTTCCCTCCCACCTCTCATCCCTGTTAAATGTTAATCTTCTTCTCCTGCTCTTCATCCCTACTCTGATCTTAGTTACTCTCCTTATATCAAAGAAGACATTTGGCATTTGTTTTTTAGGAATTGGCTAGCTTCACTTAGCATAATCTGCTCTAATGCCATCCATTTCCCTGCAAATTCTATGATTTTGTCATTTTTTAATGCAGAGTAATACTCCATTGTGTATAAATGCCACTTTTTTTTTATCCATTCGTCTATTGAAGGGCATCTAGGTTGGTTCCACAGTCTTGCTATTGTGAATTGTGCTGCTATGAACATCGATGTAGCAGTGTCCCTGTAGCATGCTCTTTTTAGGTCTTTAGGGAATAGACCAAGAAGGGGAATAGCTGGGTCAAATGGTGGCTCCATTCCCAGCTTTCCAAGAAATCTCCATACTGCTTTCCAAATTGGCTGCACCAATCTGCAGTCCCACCAGCAATGTACAAGTGTACCCTTTTCCCCACATCCTCGCCAGCACTTGTTGTTGTTTGACTTCATAATGGCTGCCAATCTTACTGGAGTGAGATGGTATCTTAGGGTGGTTTTGATTTGCATTTCTCTGACTGCTAGAGATGGTGAGCATTTTTTCATGTACTTGTTGATTGACTGTGATGGGACAATTACTTTTTGAGCTCTGATCAATAAGCCAGCTTGAGGGTAGCAGAGGAGGGGACAGTCACATCCTTAATGTGTGTCACCTAGAGAATGGCTGCTCTCTGACCCCAGGCTTATTGTCACCTTCCCTCTGCAGCCTGCCTTCAAAGGCCTCACCTTCACCGACCTGCCCTTATGCTTACAACTGAACATCATGCAGAGGCTGAGCGACGGGCGCGATCTCGTCAGCCTGGGCCAGGCGGCCCCCGACCTCCACGTGCTCAGTGAGGACCGGCTGCTGTGGAAGAAGCTCTGCCAGTACCACTTCTCCGAGAGGCAGGTCAGTGGCGCCCACGAGCTGCCTCACAGATGGCCCTCCTTTGCCCCACCCTCCTCTCCCTTGTCCTCCTCTAACATAAAGCATGGCTGCCCCACTTCAGGGCTGCCAGGTTTGACTGGAAAACTCCAATCGAAGGTGTCTATAGTGGGTAAAGTTGCTTCCCCCGCCACCCCAGGTAGTTTTTCTTTTTTTGTTAGTTCTAATCAGTTATACAAGGCAATAGAAAGCTTTTGATTCATTGTACACAAATGGAACAGAATTTTTCACTTCTCTGGTTGTGTATGAAGTAGAGTCACACCATTCATGCAATCACACATGTACCTAGGGTAATGATGTCCCTCTCATTCCATCTTTCTTACCCCTTTGCCCCTCCCCTCTCTTCCCCAGGTAATTTTTAAAATATCTTTATTTTGTTTATTTGTTTTTATGTGGTGTTGAGGATTGAACCTAGTGCCTCATATATGTGAGGCAAGCGCTCTGCCACCAAGCCACAGCCCCGGCACCCCCAGGTAGTTTTGATGGGAAACACACACAAAAACACAGCCAAGAATTACTGCACCTCCCTGAAAATAATCACTCAAGTCTATAGCAGAGAAAAATGTTGAAGTGGATTATGAATGTGACCTAACTTTAAGTATTAACAGACTAAATGCAATTTAGTAGAGGTCATTAGTAAGTTGTCACCAACCACCTATATCTTTCAAAGACTGGTTCAAAGCTACTGTGTAACTGAGGAGAGATTTGAAGGCACTTCTTGGCAGTCTTTCCCTTCTGGGTATTGTAGGATAGAGAGGGAAAGGGGAAGGAGGGTAGGAGTAGAACTTTTAAGAACCAGAAAACCACAAACCATGCTCTTGACTAACTCTCCTGCAATTATTTTTATTCATTTGATTTTTAGATCCGCAAGCGATTAATTTTGTCAGACAAAGGGCAGCTGGATTGGAAGAAGATGTATTTTAAGCTTGTTCGATGTTACCCAAGGAAAGAGCAGTACGGGGACACCCTGCAGCTTTGCAAACACTGTCACATTCTTTCCTGGAAGGTATGTGTTTCAGAGGTGCTACCACAGCCCGCTAGCCTAGTCCCCAGAGCCAGCAGCTCCAGGCCATTTTCTGATCTTTCCTCTCTCAGGCCCCAAATCAAAGGGAAGGTAAAACTGATCCAGCACCTGGGAAGGGAAGAGAAACTTTCCTTCATTTTCCCTCATTTCCTTCACCTTCTTATGTTTATTTTTCTCTGGAACCCACTCACCTCCAAATTCTCCCACCTCTGTGTGCACAGGTGCATACACAGGCAAACACACAGCTCTATCGCTTTTGCAGTGCTGTGGCATTCTTGAGAGAGAATTGTTGTTTTGAGGTTGGGCAGTACCTCAAGGTGCCAAAACTCAGTGCAACACCTCTGGGAACTCCAAACTTACCACCATGTGTCTTTCCAGGGCACTGACCATCCTTGCACAGCTAACAATCCAGAGAGCTGCTCCGTTCCACTTTCACCCCAGGACTTTATCAACTTGTTCAAGTTCTGAATCCCAGCACATGACAACACTTCAGAGGGCCCCCTGCTGACTGAATACAGAATTTGGACGAATACAGAATTTGGACGCTCCATTTGTAAATAGTGTACATTTTAAACATTGGCCTGAGACTTCTCAGATAAGTCCTTGAGAGGACCTTGGAGGGGAGAGATATAATTGCTTATGGGAATTTA